GGGCCGGGGGCCGTCCCCAAGTCTGCAACGTGGATGAGCGAGGTCCCCAGTGGGTGTCGATAGCTCTGCAGCGGGTGTAAGCCAATGTCACTCCTCTGAGGCTCCTTTCCCTCAGCTGAGTCCCTGCCCACCCCCACACCAGTCACATGGGGCTCTTGCTTCATCCCCGCCCCGCGCCATCAGGGCAAGGAAATAGGCAGTTCCCCTCTGCACACGATGTGCACCACACACCAGCGTCTCTCCAGCCCCTGAGCTGAGTGGTGACCACGCCTGAGGCATGGAGCTACCTCTGCTTCTGCCTCTGCTGGGTAAGTGCCCTGCCTCAGCCCCTAGCTCTGTGTCTGTCTGTCTGTCTGTCTGTCAGTCTGGAGACTGCCCCCTCCCTGCCCCACTTGCCCCTCTGCATCCCCAGAGCCCTCACCCCCTCTCTGCTCTTCTCTTCCAGCCTTGCTCCAGAGTCTCCCCCGGTTGGTGTCCCCCGCAGGTAACGAGGTCTCCTGGCCTCCCTGGGATGCTGGTGGTATGGTGGGAGAGGGGAGAGGGGTCCTGGCAGGGGGGCTGGGGTCCTGCTCCTCTCACTCCGTGGGGCTGGGAATTGTCAGGAAGGGAGGAGCATCCTCTGACATCCATGAGGGAGGAAGAGAACCCCACCTGGTGCCTGCTTGGAGCATCCCTTTAGTATTTACCAGGCCAGGCTATATGGGAGAAGCTGCCCCATCCCCATGGGCACTACCCAGCCCCACACGGGCAGCCCCAGCAGAGAGAGTGAGGGCTGGACGGGCCATGGAGTCTGAGTTCCATGACACTGAGTGTCCCTGGGCAGGGCCCATCGCTGTGGGTCTGTGTGTGGAGTGAGACGAGGTCTCTCTGCCCCAGCTCTGGGCTTCCACCGAGGGCTAGGACCACAGACCCAGCCCTGCCCAGCAGGGCAGTAAAAGCAGATTCTGCCGAGCCCTCAGCGGAAACGTGATGGGTGGAAAACTCCCCCCTCCCTCCGCCACATCCGCCCAAGCTTCCTCATTTCTGCTCAGTGCCTGCTCGCCACTGCTGGGCAGGTTGGATGGACGGCTGATGGTCTGTGTGCATAAGTCGTATCTGTCTCACGATGGGAATATGGGCCGTGTGTCAGTTGTAACTGTGTGTCCACTGGAGATACACCCGCCAGACAGTGATCGATCATCTGGGATGGGTCACCAGAAAAAGACAACACGTCTTGAAAGAGGTGGCCCTTCCCTCTTCCTGGATTTCCAGCCTGTGGACATTGCGGATCAACCCCAGCTCTGGGCTCCCCAGAGGAAATATTTGTAGGCAAGATGGGCCATGAGAGGTATCACTGGAATTGTTCTAATCTATTGACTGTCGTTCACTCCACGTAGACTCCATGTGTCTATTAACCATGCAGCAGTTACAGCCGAGGGCACGCTGGGTTTGAGATGCAGCAGGGCCTCGCCCAGACTCCAGCCCCTCGTGCCCTGGTAGTGCGAGAGCTCAGCTTCACACATTCACAAGACTTGTGCTATCACCTCCACAGGGTCTCTGGGGGAACCCCCTTCAGCACAATGGCCCTTCTCAGGGGCTCTCTCTGTCTGTGGGGTTAAGCCGTAGGTCCCTCTACCTCTCTGAGCCTTCAGCACCCCATGTCTGCCGTGGACCCACTTAGGGTGTCCCCTCCCTCTGGACCCCCAGGGCCTCCACACAGAGGGAAATAATGCAGCCCTGTTTGCTGGACTGGCAGGACTCTCAGCCAAACCCAGCACAGGAAACTCCCCGGGGCCTCTGCACAGCACATCTAGGGTATTGGCTGTGGTTATGGGTTATGGCCGTGGGGTGTTTCCCCTAAGCAGGGAGCTGGGGCGGGTCTGTGCCCGTGTCTGTCTGTGATTTGTCTCTTCTCTCTCCCCATGCTGGCCTGGCCTCTGTCTCTGCCCTGACCCTCTGCCTCTGTCCTAGGTACCCTGTCGGCCCCCAAACTAACTCCAGACCGTCCATACACAGTGTATCTCCCAGGAGAGAAGGTTAAACTCCAGTGCACAGCTCCTGGGCATAAACAGACTACGAAACACAGTTTCTTCTATCAAAAAGAGCCACAGGCCCCCAGCACAGTCCTACACTCTGATGAAGGAAAATTTGCAGAGTTCACAGCTGAGAAGGGAAGAGCTGGGACCTACACCTGTGCGTACTGGACAGAGGGACCCAATGGACCGGTCTCTGAGACCAGCAACCCCGTCCCCATCTCCATATCAGGTGAGCCCCTTCTCCTGCTCTTGGACGGGCGAGTCCCTGGGAATCCAAAGCCCCCCCTGGCACTCCAGCCCGACCCCTGTCCTTGGTCCAGCCATTCCCAGCATCCCCCACACTCACTGATGCCTCAGCAGGTCCCACCAGGGCAGTGGCAGGGCACTGCTGTGGGGAAGCTCACAGCACTATGGTTCTGTATGGGCACTGTCAGTACTCAGCATTCAGGGTGAAGGCACCACAATAACACCCAGATTTGGTCTCTAGCAGGGTTCCCAGCCACAGTGGAGTAACTGGTTGGTGCTCACAGCTGAATCAGGGACCACCTGCCCCTCCCCCCGCTGTGCCCTGGGCAACCCAGTCCCACCAGAAAATCTCACACAGAGAGGCCCTGCTCCCAACTGGGTAACGTGGGCTCAGGGCAGGGTGGGGATCAGTGAGGTTCAGGGCACTGGGTGTATCCCTCAGAGAAGTCTCCATCCCTCAATAACAGAGATTAATTTAACTGGAAACCATCTGCCCCACACTGCCCAAGTCCTTCCCGAGATCCTGACTGACTGAGCTGCAGTTCTGCAGAAAAGGCCCTGGGGGTTACAGTGGATGAGAAGCTGGAGATGAACCAAAAGTGCGAGAAGGGAAGTGCCGGGACCTACACCTGTGTGTACTGGACAGGGGGACCCAATGGACAGGTCTCTGAGACCAGCAACTCCGTCCCCATCTCCATAGCAGGTGAGCCCCTTCTGCTCTTGGACGGGCGAGTCTCTGGGAATCCAAAGCCCCCCTGGCATCCCAGCCCCACCCCTGTCCTTGGTCCAGCCATTCCCAGCACCCCACACACTCACTGATGCCTCAGCAGGTCCCACCAGGGCAGTGGCAGGGCACTGCGGAAGCTCACAGCACTATGGTTCTGTATGGGCACTGTCAGTACTCAGCATTCAGGGTGAAGGCACCACAATAACACCCAGATTTGGTCTCTAGCAGGGTTCCCAGCCACAGTGGAGTAACTGGTTGGTGCTCACAGCTGAGTCAGGGACCACCTGCCCTTCCCCCCGCTGTGCCCTGGGCAGCCCAGTCCCACCAGAAAATTTCACACAGAGAGGCCTTGCTCCCAGCTGGGTAACGTGGGCTCAGGGCAGGGTGGGGATCAGTGAGGTTCAGGTGTATCCCTCAGAGAAGTCTCCATCCCTCAATAACAGAGATTAATTTAACTGGAAACCATCTGCCCCACACTGCCCAAGTCCTTCCCGAGATCCTGACTGACTGAGCTGCAGTTCTGCAGAAAAGGCCCTGGGGGTTACAGTGGATGAGAAGCTGGAGATAGAAGGCAAGTGGCATTTTGAAGTGCATTAGGAGGAGCGTTGCCAGCAGATCTAGGGAAGTGATTATTCCCCTTTATTCGGCGCTGGGGAGGCCACATCTGGAGTGTTGTGTCCAGTTCTGGCCCCCCACTACACAAAGGACGTGGGCGCATTGGAGAGGGGCCAGCGAGGGGCAACCAAAATGACCCGGGGGGCGGAG